ATTGGGATCCATTTATGGACCAGTACTATGCCTATAATTGTTATGTAACTAAACTGTTCATATTTATGTCGCTCTTATGATAACCTTTATTTTACCCTATGAACTGTTATTAGACGATTTACCATTCTTGAATTATCCCCTGTCTATCAATTACTGTCTCCCTTATTCACAGCCACATTTGGCTAAATCTTGTTTCCTATCTTATTGGTACGATGTGGTCTGTCTGGTTTGTATATAAACTTCGTGTGTTTAAAATACATGATTCACATCGCAGAGGCTGAGATTAGTGTTCTGGACTCAACTGGCTGGGCTAGGCGGAAAGCAGGATCAAGTAGGACTCTAAACTGCTCGCACGTGTTTTATGCGTCATTGGTTCGATCGGTAGTTCGCTGCTCTCTGATTGGCAGTATCGTTGTGGTATACAATGAACAGGGCACACAGGTTCACAAGTTATAACAAAAATGTAGAGTTCTAACAGTTTGAAACTAAAAAAAAACTCATTGAAAACATGGACTGTCGCTTCGTATTGATATGGAACCCCTAGGCAATACATATTCACAACTTCACAGCCAGTAGTTGGACCTAGGACTTCCGGTCTCGTACACGAATGCCTATCTTTCAAACTATTTAGCCAACAACCAGTAGTGTACACGTCTAACTTCGACTAATCTATGATATTATGCAATTGTCTTCCATTGTTTTCGGTAGGTAACTTCTTTATACCATTTTGAGATGATAAACCAAGTCAGATGTTTTTCTCGAGACGAATGTGTTGTCAAATCTTGAAGGGCAGTAATACACTTCTTTCGAAATGAACGACTGGATTTATTGAAAATTTTGTTTACGAAACAATTGGCTCGACAATTTTGACGACACTACAATTTATAGACGACCTCTGAGAGAATCTTAAGTGACCTTGAAAAATATTAGCCAATCAGAAAACTTAGTATGAAGTAGAAAATATATTATACAAAACCAAAGACTTAAAGTGGGTACACTTCTTTTACATGGAGTACCAAAGAAGTACATTAACCTTATAAAGGCTCTCTACTCGAACACAACTGGTAGAGTGAGAACTTATTGCGAACTGTCATCACAATTGATTACCTCAAGTGGTGTTCGTCAGGGCTGTCCACTCTCTCCATTCTTGTTCAACTTTGTCATTGACGCACTTTTAGAGATAACGCTCTCCTCATCTAAGTTTCCAGGGGTTGAACTTCTACCAGGAAATTCACTTGTTGACTTAGTAGAATATGCTGATGACTTAGTTCTATTTGGTGAAGACGCTGACAAAATGCAGAGTCTTCTCACCACTCTAAGCAACAATGCAAGTATGTTCGGGGTGCGATTCTCTCCCTCCAAATGTAAAATGTTGCTTCAGGATTGGGTTGCATCGACATCCGAACTAATGATAGGGAGTGAAGTAGTTGAGCGTGTCAACCGCTTCACTTATCTTGGAAGTCTCATTAGCCCTTGTGATCTGGTGTGTGACGAAATCTCAGCGCGTATACAGAAGGCTCGACTAGCTTTTGCCAACTTGCGTCATTTATGGAGTAGGCGAGATATCCGTCTATCAACCAAAGGACGTGTTTACTGTGCAGCAGTTCGTTTCGTCTTACTTTATGACAGTGAAACATGGCCGGTAAGAGTAGAGGATATTCGTAGGTTACTAGTATTTCATCATAGGTGTCTTCGAAATATTGCTCGTATATCCTGGGACCATCGAGTAAGTAATGCAGTTGTTAGAACACGGGTACTACGTAAGGATGGCAAATCAATTGATGAAGTAGTGAAACTTGATCAGTTGAGATGACTGGGACACGTGTTACGTATGCCCGACCACCGACTGCCACGACTTGCGATGCTCAGTGGTTTAGGAGTAGGTTGGAAGAAAGCTAAGGTCGGCCAGACCAAAACATGGTACAAATCTATGAAGTTACTGACGAGTGGACTGAGCCATGTTGGTAGGTGTAGACTACCTGGTTGGGGACCGCGAGATGATAGCAACCGATGGTTAGAGACCTTGAATGACATGGCTCAAAATTGTTTGCAATGGTGCAGGTACATCCACTCTTTTTGTTCTCACAAATTCTTCATGTCCCCTTATTTATTTTTCCAAATTTATTTCACTGTATTATACTCCTTGAATAACATAATGATGCTAAAGAGTGCCAGTAACTTTTAGATATGTAAAATCTGTGTTGTGTAAACATGAACTGAGTTACTAAGTGTTAAACTCGTCCGCACTTTCTCCTTTTTTGTGCATTGCCTTTTACTACTTATTAATATTCAGTAGTCAGCTTATAGTTTTAAAATGTTTATCAATTGACAGTATAGTGTACAATTTGTGTCGTTTTCCCGTTTACCTTCATTTTCGGCTCTGTTGTAATTACAATCTCTCGACATTTTACTCACAGTTGATTTCAGTCTTTTTTCTGTTTGCGCATTTCTTTGTTTAAACACATATGATCTTAGCTCAGAGAGCCGAAAAGCGACACAACAGCCTTTATAACTGTGCTCATATTCTCTATTTCATTGTTGACTTTTGACATATCTATCGGTTACCATTTACACTAACGTTTATTGTAATTAATTTTTATATAATAACAGTAAAAAAGCATTTTCTGTTCTATATTAAAAAAAAGGAACGCGTTAACCATCACAGACACTTCATGAGCTGAGGGTTGTGGCTAAATTACGGATATATGATGGTGAAAGTAAAATATGATTGTTCGTTGAGAGTAGACATACAGACATTAAGCCTACCAACTATTAAATATGTGACTCACTTTCCTCCCATTGATTTCTACTCCGGACCCACTGAGTGTGATTGTTTATAGTTGTGTTCAATAAATTGTTATTAGTAAGGGGATTTTTGGAGATTGTAGTATTTTCAAAGTTGAATTCACGAGCCGATCTAAGCCAGACTATTATTGAAAAACTAAAAGCACTAGATGGTCATTTCGTCCCAGTATGAAACTCCTCAGAAGTGCGCATCCACGATGTCGTATGTGAGATTCGTGAATAATTAGCCTCTAGACCGCTAAGTCGGTGTCTAACGATGTTAATGTTTGACTTCAATCGATTCAGCGTTCGAAGCCCGTGCGTGGGATCCTGAGTACGCACTTATACGGAGTCTCATAATAAGACGAAATGGTCATTCAGTGCCTCCAGGGTCTCAATATTGTGGTCTAGCTTAGATTGGCTAGTTGAATCATTTACAAGACAAAAGTTTTTTTTTTTTTCGAATTTATATTTTCACATGTCGCTCAATTAATTAGTTAGATGATTCAGTAGGGTTTAATAGTGAGTTTCGTTAACCAGAAACTACGAGATACGAACTGATAAACTACTTTTGACCACCCACGCCCAGGATCATGCACATACATCACATGTGCCCCTCAGCTTCCCCGACGCCCCGCGCCCCGCACTCATCCAAAGAGGCCTGACTACCCCGTTAAGCCCGCCATCAGCCCGCCGTGCCACAGAACCCCCTGGCACGTCCCCCGCCGACCCCAGCTACCGACAATACCCCGGCAAGACATATCATCTCACGCCAGTGCCTCCACCCCCTCCTATGAGAATAAACCACACCCGGTAACAACCACCCAAATCAAGTACCAGTTTCCCTCTAGTCACCCCCTCCGCCCTCGTCCCCTACACCACACAGCCACGCAAACACACAAATTATCCCATGCACCCCAGACTGCCCAAGAGCACCCAACCCCACACACCTCCAACCAGCCAACCACCATTCCCCATGCCCCGCCACGCAACCAAACAAAACAAATAAACAAACCAGCAGCCCCTCCGATCACCCACCCGCCACCAAAGGCCACCCCGTGGCACATGCAACCCCCATAGCTCCCCCCTCCACCTCCCGCACCTCCAACCCCCCCCGCCGATTACCCCGACCCCTACACTGCCGACGCCCGACCCGAGGTCTCGATTACCACAATATCAAGATTACCAACTCCTTCACCTATGTTCTAGCAATTTCCGGAAACCTAAGGCCATCTGTACATAAACGAATCTTGGAGTAAAGCGTTTTCTTTCATATTTCGCGCCCTTTCTCTCGTGTTCAAGTTACTGCGTAGATTTAGCCCGGTAGTTACTAAAAGAGCTTCAGAACTGAATCTAGTGTTCAATTAGGAGACTTATCACTTACGATCTATTACTGTTCAATATGGTGAATTAACAGAGGTAAGTTGTTGGATTTCAACTAGCGGTCTAGAAGTTAAGTGAGCGATGTGTAACCTAAAGATCTTGTGTTCAATCTCAGGAATTGGGTCGTCGGTGCGCACTGTTAGAAAGTCCTATACTACAAAGAAACAACTGTACGGTAATTTCTGGTTTTCAACAATTGTCAAACTAGGATCAGTTCGTAACGTAAACTATAACAACTAAAAAGAATTTAGATGGTTACATCATTGACTTATATCAGATGGAGAATCATTGAATAAACCAGTGAGGATTCGATAATTTATCAAGATTTTTCGCTGGTGTGCAAAAGACAACACAACGTAACATAGAACGAAGCTAGAAATTATCAGATTTTCCAACCAGTATGATACCACATAAATTTAAACCGGTAACAAAACTTATAAAATGCTCCCCCTCCTATATGGTATGTGGAGGGAAGTGGTAGATGATTCCTTTGAGAGACAGTACTTTTTTATTAGAGACATTGATATTAGACAGAACAATGACAAATAAACATCCACTATAAACTGCTGATGACGACTGAGAAACTTCATACAGTACAATGAGTCAAGGTTTGAATAGTCAACATCTAACAACTAAAATCACTCCAACTACTACTATTACTAACCCTTAACTGTTTCACTCTGTACATCGTTTTTGAACTCCAATCAACTGTAAATATTTCAGTTTTACCGGTTCATGGAGGCTTGGAAAGCTCAGTGGTGATGTGGGTTCGAATCTTAACAAGCATATAAACCTAGATAGAACAGGTTTGTTGTAGAGTATCTACAAACGAGAATTATCTTCAAATTGAACGAATCTCTACAAACTTTCAATTCATATAACAACTATATTATTATTAGCTTTATTCAATATTATAGTTTTGATACAACATGGAATTTTCAGTGCAAAATATTTCAACAAGTTTCCTTTTCTTATTTCTTGAACGATCCTGACGATAAATATTGAGTGATTGCAAGTTATATGTTAGCAGTTCGGGAATCGACATTTGAATAAGGTTCGTTCTTTTCAGTGCATATTGCCAGACAACATCATGATGATGCTGAATGTACTTTTTCGTAACCTGTACAGTGAAATGTCGTAAACTTTTCATAAACGCACCTGAATAGGGTCGTACGCTCAATAGACATAATGATGTGTTAAAATAAACAAGAAAACAGATAACTTGTTGAGATATCTAAATGGTAGGAACAGTTAGCCCAGATATTTAAGCAGGCCGCCGACAGCTCAAAAATAACTATTTAAGGTAATTAGAGGTACTATACAAGAAACTTTGCCTGATCTAGATTTCGAGCTAGTTGTTATTTATCAGCAAGGGATATCTGCAACATTCTCAGTAAGATTCGAACCTTCGTCACCTAGTTTCACAGTCTCAAACATTAGTACAGACTATTCAGAAAGTGAATAATCTTCTTTACAACACAAATATATGTAATGAGAAACTCAAAGGTCTCAGTACAACCATATGTACTTGTCCATTAATATAAGTAGTATTTCATTCAAATTAAAATGTTACACGGTAGAAATAGACAAACGGAAATGTGAAAAAAGAAATTTGTAAGATTGGAAATTGTCAGTGTTTACCTTTTTTGAATGAACAACCTTTTATAACGAGCTGAAAATTGCTAAAAAAAAAACAAACAAACAAACACAGGAAGAAATAAGAAAAAGAACCAAGAAACAACAAATGATTGAATTCATAAGTCAATTGAAATTAGATCATCATGGAAAACCTGGAAGTACTGGACGACCGTTCCGTCCTATTGTGGCACTCCTCAGCAGTGTGCATCCATGATCCCGCTTCTGTGACCAGTGGATTTTAACGGGGTCATTTGTGAGATAGGAACTTACTGATAACAATGGTGGATGTGTCGCTCGATTTCGTGGATTAGTTAAAGTTAAACAGTTGGTCAAAGTGAAATTTAGTGTCAATCCATGATATCACTGACTATTGACAAGTTTAGAACACCTGGTTATGGTTTGAGTGATAATTGTGATCAGTAAGCGAAGAAATTGATTATGATAGAACTGATACATTTACTCTTTGTATTCCCATAGATTTGAGTCCCAGGATCCCGTCAAAAGATGTTACTTTATTGCTTCTTCTTCAATAGTATACTCAATGTTTAATAAGATGGTGGTTGGATGTAGTCAACAAGAAACCCTGGAGCTACGTTTCGTGCTACTTGGCACTCGTCATGAAGGTGACTGTAAAGCTGAGCGACACGGGATTAAATCCGTCAGATAGCATCAATCCCCTCAAGATTACAGGTATACCTTGCTGACGAGTACCAAGTAGCAAGAAACATAGGTTCAGGGTTTCCTGTTGACTACTTCCAACCACCATCTTATCACAACATAGTGCACATACAATGTCGAGTCACATAGATTAGTGGCCACATTGCAACTTGGTCGATATGATTCGATCTGTACTAAGAAGGACCTGACATACATGACAGTGGCCATTACCTAGTGATCAATCAAGTATCAATGTTTAATCTTTTTTAATATGGTTAATCCGAATATTATTTCAATTTTTTTTATCTCATAGTGGTGGGCCCGACCAGCACGTCAGGGTAGCAGCTACAGTCGGGATAGATGAACGTGTACTCGGTCACTGTACCATATTACATAATAAAGTTGATTGAAATGATATGCTTAAAGTAGATATTAGATTCATTCAACAAATATTAAGAATAGTCAGTATGGGGTTGTGGAGATTATTAAGTTTTTGATTGAGATGATGAACCGATTGATGTTAGACCACCACTGAAAACCTAGAAGCACTGGACGACCGTTCTGTCCTATTGTGGCACTCCTCAGCAGTGCGCATCCACGATCCCGCTTACGGGAACTGAGCCGGCATCCAACGGTATTAATGTCTAATTTCAACCAATCCACGAATGTGCGTGACCATCTTCCACTGCACTGACGTAGATACCTGTCTCTATCCGACATACTACGAATAAATTAAGTAATAAATCAGTGATCAGATTTCTTGTGTATGATTTTTATGGTGAAAAAATATTCAACTGTAATAAAAAAAGATCACACAACTTACTTTATAAGCTTCATCTTGTTCAGTTTGGTCTGACAATCGATTGGGAGATAGTAGACGAGGGTTTGGAAAGAAAAAATACATAAGAATATAATGTTCTAATTCGCCAAAAATTGTCTGCATTAAATGTATGCAGTATTTATTTAGACACGTAAACATTGGTACAAGGAGGCACAAAACAGATATGCGCCACATAACTCACTTAATTTGTGTGTAGGCTGTGATATTCTGACAGGATGCCCAACCCGAAACAGGTGGTCTTCTAAGGGGGGCCACACCCAGAGCCTTTAACCAAAAGGTCTAATCCACAAAGCAGTGAAATACCATAAGGAGATGTAGTCCCATGGTAGCCGGTGACCAACAATAGTCAATCAGTAACGACGTAGAACTTCGTACGTACGTACATCAGTTCGAGTTGCCATACAACATTACCACACAGATACAATTGTCGATTCAAATCTCATAGTGGTACAGGTAGTAAAAGTATAAGCAGTAATCGGAAACATTATGGTTTGAAGATGTTATTCAAGGAGTATAATCCAGTGAAATAAATTTAGAAAGGGGAAAAAAGGACATGAAGAATTCAGAAGATTAGAATTTGTGAGAACACAAAAAGTAAATGTCATTTGTTTCCTTAGGATCCTGGAGCCCATGTACACCACTGGTTTGAGATGAGGGTTCTCCAACTCCCCTAGGTGGATCCTCTGTATCCACCAAATGTATGCAGAAATATAACCCTTTATATCTAGGACTCAACTTTAAAGAGGACAACACAGAGAAGGTGACATTTTGCACACGTCAAGTTACAAGATCTATTCAGAGGATATTAAACGTCATCAAGTTACATTTGATCTTCACAAATGAAACAGTACTTAAACAGAGAATTAAGGCTAGCTTATTGATGACAGACTCTTTCGTGTGTGTGTATATATATATATATGCGAAATGAACTGTTCTTGTGAAGCTAGTGACAGTCTATACACACATGACTTTATCCCTGGGTGCTTGTGAACATGTATTGGAATGGTTCAGAAAGATGTTACAAAATCTATTATTAATAGCCCTCTCATTGTTTTTCATTTAGTACGTGTTAGTGAATATCATATTGAAATAGATGAAGATTTCTCAACAGTCTATTGTTATTACTTCTTCATATCCACTAAATAAATAATTATCTCTCCTCAACAAAATATGTTAACAAATTTTCATTATTACAGTTTTTAGTCACGAACTGATTTTAGCTAGACTACCCTTGAAAATCTAGAAGCGCTGAACGATCACTTCGTCCTAGTATGGGACTCCTCATTGGTAGTGCACATCCACAACTATGCACCCAAGGATTATATGCAGTACCTCCAGCTTCACAAACGAATACCATTCAGTCGGCAACAAACGGTAGAATATATCCGACTCCAATGAATGGTAAAAACGTTAAACACCGATGGCCTTGAGTTGGCCAATCAGGATCAAGATAACGTCTGATGTATTCTGCATGAAATTTGAGCATAGTCAGTTGGTAACAAACAATTCTATTGGGTGATAACTTTAACTCGCAAAACTAGTCCGACTCCCACTACGTAAACTTGGCCGTTTCCCTTTATTATAAAGGATAATTTGATATGTGAGAGTTAATTATTTAAATCAAAGTTGTTATTACGGTTTGTATTTATGATTGTCTTGTAAATGGGAAGTGTTTTTTTTATTGGCTGATAAGTTAACCAACACTGCCAGTGTAGTTTACTTGAACGCAATAAACTTATGACATTATACAGCCCCTGAATGCCCTGGTACGGCCGAGAGTGGGAAGAATCCGCTCTCCTTCTCGAAATGCTCTCAAATGGCCACGCGTACATAGCCTCTGCCAGGGAAGTTCCACTCATTGCCTTTCCGTGGCTGGGGGGTTGTTTACAAAATTGAGAGGATGAAAAGCGGATGTCCGGCGCTTTAACCGGGTTGGTAGACATAGAGAGTCCATCTAGGGGAGTTGGAAAACCCTCATTTCAAACCAATGGTGCACATGGGCTCCAGTATCCTGAGGGAAAAAATGGCGTATAAACCAGTCGTTGGTCACCGGCTACCATGGGACTGAATCTCCTTACGATGCTCCACTGATTGTGGATCAGACCTTCAGGTCGAAGGCTCCGGATGTGGCCCCCTAAGAAAACCACCTGTTTCTTTTTGGACACCCGGTCAGTATCACAGCCCTCACACATACCAAATGAGATTTATGTGGCGCATATGTATTTGGTGCCTCCTTGTACCAATATCTATGTGTTAAAATAAATAATAAATAAATAAATGACATTATACAACTATCTACTAATAACCGAGGTGGATCATTGTCTACTAACACCTGATACAATTGAACTTCATTGCTTATGGCTTTATTAGGTGTTAGATCATTACATAACCTTCTTTGTATAACTAGTATTTCTAATCAATTTATTAATTCCTTCTTAATGTTCTTCAACTTGACAATTATCTCCTATCTTTAATTTGTTTCTATTTTGACCTATTACATAATTTTTTGTTGTTGAATAATTGAAGGCATTTTAGATGGGTGATACAATATTTTTCAATTTTTATTATAGACTAATGTATTCAAACTAATTATACGGTATTGTTGGAGAGAAAATTCCCTATGCTGAATTGTTTACCTAAGTTCACACACAAGACCGAAAGTCCTGGGTTTGAGTACCGTATTAGGGATCGTGGATGAGCACTACTGAGGAGTCTCGTACTAGGACGAGACGGTCGTCCAGTATTTCCAGGTTCTCAATGATGGTCTAGTTTAGATCGAATCATAAGTTCAATTATTAAAATAATTTGTTTGTTTGACTGCTATTCACTTTCACGTTCAATGAATTGTTATCCGAAATGAGAATGTAGTTGGTGGGTTGATAAAATTAGTCTCGTTATAAATGACTGTACCGCCTACTCACATTATTTCATTCCCCATCACCACGTGTTGGGTATGCCTGAACATCGATTACCACGACGCGCAATACTGATTAGTGTTGGGGATCGTTGGAAGAAAGTTAGTGGAGGCCAAACCAAAACGTGGCATTAATGCTTGAAGTCAATAACTTCTGGTCTCGGCCATGTTGGTAGATGCAGACTACTTGGTTGAGGGTCCGTGTAACTATCGTAACCAATGGTTGTAGACTCTTGGTGACATGGCTCGAAATCGATCACAATGGTGTAGGTGTATACACTCACTGTCTTCCCTTAAACTATGAGATTAAAATCACTTCATATTTTTCTTTCTATGTACTAATTCTTTCTTTCTGTACTATATCCTTATACACAATCTTTCTTTCATATATTACCATCATTGAATTAACTACTTCTATGAATCCGGTGTTAATTTTGTTGTGCTAATGCGCTATGGCAACTTGTACCGGTACATATATGTGCCTGGTCCTACGTTGTAGCTGACTGACTGATCCTATCACCAATCGATCGATAATGAATCTTTATTGACTGAGGTAGTTTAGATGTGTGTTATGTATATTAAACCACTGTTTTCTTCAACGTTCATTGTCGACTAAAGTAGGAGTAAATATGAGAAGAATTAGAGGGAGCTAAACCAAAGCAAAACAAAACGAACCAACTTGGTATCAACCAATGAAATTATTGACTGTCAATTTGTTTTATACTAGTTAGTACTTAATACCTAGTTAGAGTCTAAAAGATAACTGTGACTAATGTTCGAATACATTCCCCTAGGGCGGCCTGCTTGAGCATCTGGGCTACCTGTTCCTGTCATCTAGATATTTCAACAAGTTATCTATTGTTGTTTGTTTTAATATATCATTATGTTTATTAATCGCATAACCTATTCTGCTGCGTTTCTGAAAAGTGTACAACCTTTCGTTGTCAAAGTTACAGAAAACTCAATAAGAGACAATATGGTTGCTGGCAATGTACAACGAAAAGAATGTACATTATTCAGTTGTTCATTCACTGAAGTGCTAACATCTAACTGGCGATTCCTCAATATTTATCGCCAGGACCGACCAAGAAGAAAGAAACGGAAACTTGTTGAAATACTTTGCGCTGATAATTCTATATTGTACCAAAATTATAATATTGAATAAAGCTAATAATAATAATAATAATAATAATAACAATAACAATAACAATAACAATAATAATAATAATAGTAATAATAATAATAATATTTCAAAGTTATTCTCTAGTGAGTTAATAATTTCTACAAAATTACTTAAGGCTATATCGAGGCAATCCATACAAGATGCATATATCCCAACATGAGACTGATCAATTGCAGTCCTAAATAACAATCGGTAGGTACAAGTAAAACAACATCAAGTGAATTTAAACTTCATCCCATTGCACAAGCCAATGACTATCAGGACTCAGTAGCAACTAAGTGGATAATGCGATGGCGTTTGAAGCGGACAGTATTGGGTTCGAGTCCCAGAGTGAACATCAACTCTGAGGTGCAGGCACATTCAGCTGACGAGTCCTAAATAAGACGAAACGCGAGTCCTGGATCCCACTATCCATCTTTGCTTAAAAAGAGCTTGTGACTTAAGGCTATACCGAGGCAATCCGTACAGGATACACATATGCCGACATGAGACTGATCAATTTTAGTCCTTTATACCAATGAGTAGGTACAAGTAAAACAACACCAAGTGAATTTAAATTTACTTTAGATTGCATTCAAAATATGCATGAAACTTACCCATCTCATTATCAACATCGTCACCAATATTCTTTTGTTGACTTTTATACAAAGTAGTGTGTTTTTGGTCGACTTGTTGTAATAATGATGATGATGATGATGACTGTTGTCGACTAAGTACACCATCTGAAATCGGTCTGTTTTTAGCATTCAACTTAGCTAAATGAATACGCCAAACTGTATTACAATTACGTATACGATAAGATAATTCACGATTACATAACATTAAGAAACCAAGTGATGTTAATGGTAAATAACACAATATTTCACACTAAAAAAGAGCAGATGACATGAAATGATAAGTAGGAGATTTATGAACGGAACATGCTATTGAAGGGAGTCAACCATGTAATTACTCTCAAAGCTCTGGCCTATATATTCTTGTCGAAGTCAAAAGGAGGATCACATATGTATATACATTGTGCACACATTAGATTTTGATTGGGCAATTAAACCTTTCTGATCTTTTGCACAGTGAATTTGGTATACTGTGGGAAGTGAATATAATAATTGAATCGAACTTAATGATACAACAGATGGACACAATTCATATGTTACCCTATTGAAACTATTTATCAAAAGCATTGGCATATTATGTTCATAGTTTTTTGTTCCATACTATTTCACAACTGAGAAGTGTTCCCTGAGTACGACAGTGGGCATACTAATTTAAAAAGGCGTGATTTTATATAAACAACACGGAAATGTTGGTAAAATCATTTAATATTGTAGACAGTTTTCACTATAGATTGATCACATTTTGGATGTTGTCAACAACTAGGGAGCACTGAAAAACTGTTTCGTTTCAGTATCAGATCCCTCAGCAATGCACACCCACGATCCCAATGATATTCGAATCTAGAATCTTTATGTTTCGCAGTGAACGCCTGCTATGTTTGAAAAGATTACGAGTTCACCTAATTCTGCGAATGGAACAAAGACTTAGTGACACAATGACCAAATAAGCTAACTATTCCGATGCGTCCCAACTCCGCTAACTACAGAGAGAAGTCCAGGTTTAGAAAGGGGTGAATGTATTCCACAAGCAGCTAGAAGCACGAACAACAATCACAAGCACAATTCAAGCGTATATATACAGCATAAGAATGTCCTTGACAAAAGTTTATATTAAAAGAGACAACAAATTAATGACATTTAAGATCCTTCCAAGTGAGATATACGATATGAAGGTGAAAATGGGCGTCTTTTGGCCCGAAAACAAGAAATTCAAAGTTCCGAAATAAAATTACAAAAATAAGACACCTACTAAGTGAGTTCTGAAGATCTAACATCCCTAACCACGCCTAACTGCTAGAATCAGTAAACAAGGGATTAGTGGTACAATTTTAATCGATTAAATATCGGTTTGAGTTCATATAGAACAAGTTTTTTGAAACTGAAATTAGTATGATATAGGAAATTGTGAATGATATTGGTTGGAATTAATTATAGTAGTATAGAAGCGTTTATAATACCTTTCCCAAGTATTCTTAATTAATTTTGGAGATCTTAATACTCTGTATTCTATAACTACTGTTTTCAGATACCGATATAGTCCACCCTCATTTTATCATGTATGTAAGTGATTTTGTGTAAAATTAGGGTAATTCCAAGGTAATTATTTTTTTAAATTGATCTTAATCATAGAGTCATTTGTAAATTAACTATAAGGTAATATAGGAGTAGTATTTAATAGTTCTTCAGTAGTGGGTAACTTTATAACCTTGTACAGTTTATTTATTTAAATACAAACATTGGTACAAGGAGGCACCAAATAGATATGTGTCACATAAATCATTCGATTTATGTAAGGGCTTGGATACTGACCGGGTGCCCAAACCGAAGCAGATGCTTTTCTTAGGGGGCCATATCTCGAGCGGACTCTCCCCACTCTCGGCCGTACCATGGCATTTGGAGGCAAGAAGGACCCTAGGCTTCTCATACCGGTCAACACGTCATTGGTTTGGCACAGTGCCAAAGTTGTATAAGTTATTCTGGTTGCAAGATCTTATCACATGATAATCAACCAGATAAAAGTCATAACAAATATTGAGTCTTAAAACTATCTTATAGTTTTTATTCAATAAATTAATCTCTAGATTTAATCTTTTTCTTTAGTATCATAGATATTACTGAAATGGTGTGATAAATTGAACTGATGAACATTTATAGCAGACTTTAGCATAATTCTGACTGATTAGTATAAATGAATTTTTGGGACAGACTATAATTTATGAACGAACCAATCAGATTTAAGATAACAGATCTCGGATTTTGGCGCGAAATTCACTCATCTATATGGATAAATAAAGTTTTGACATAATAGCTGATGTTAATTTGTGATGAAAACCCTAATTCTAATCTCTAACCTTAACAATCAATTGTAAATTATAATCCTTATTCTTTATACAGGTTTATAGCCTTCATGTCGGTCCTAGTACATAAATGGACATTCTCAAAGTTACACTAGCGTCACATAAAAGTCATCCATTAATGACAGTTTCACTGACCGTACCATATAAATGAATATTATGTATATGTGTATATATCAATCACTTACAAATAATTCACTTGGAAGAGTACACAAATGAAGTCTTGGAGATAAATTATATTCTGAAAAAAAATATAAAAACAAAGATGGAATATAACTAAAAAAACATACATAAAAATTTATTTCTTGAACCTAAGACCTTCAAATCAAGTGATAAACATTATTCATAGCAAGATCATCGATGAGAATTCTGAAAGAGCTCCATATTAGAATAAAAACAAGTTTTCTAATATTTTCTGATTTAAATGATGTCCCAATCGGTGACAAATACAAACAATGAAATACTCACAGTCCTATTTCATGCCCCCCCAAATGCTCTGGTATGGCCAAGAGTGAGGGGAGTTATATCTCCCTCTCGAAATACTCTCACATGACCACGTGTATACAACCACTGTCAGCGAAGTCCTACTCACTGCGTTCTCGTGGTGGGGGTAATGTTTATGAAGTGGAAAGGATGGAAAGCGAGTGTCCGGCGCTTTAATCGGGTTGGTGGACACGGAGGATTCACCTGGGGAAGTTGGAAAACTTTCATTCCAAACCAATGGTGCACAGGGGCTCTATCATCCTGAGGGAACAAGTAGCGTATGAACCAATCGTTGGTCACCGGCTACCATGGGATTAAATCTCCTTACGATGCCCCACTGTCTTGTGAATTAGACCTTTAGGTCGAAGGCTCGGGGTGTGGCTCCCTAAGAAAACCACATGCTTCGGTTCGAGTACCCGAGTAGTATCACAGCTCTCACATATATCAAATGAGATTTGTGTGGCGCATATGTATTTGATGTCTCTTTGTACCAATATTTATGTGTTTAAACAAATAATAAGGTGAAGAGAAATTTACCAACATGGTTTTATTTTCACTTCATTCGGATTATTTAAAGCTAAATTGTGTTAAAAAAGGCAAACGAAACAAGTCATTTTCTTTGAATATGGTCTCATATTGTAAATTATTATTACCAATTCTCTCTCTTGCTGCCTGTTATCCGCTTATTTATTTACTTAAACACATAAACATTGGTACAAGAAGGAACCAAATATATATGCATCACACTTCACCATCGATTTCTATGAGCAATGGAATACTGCCCGGGTACCTAAACGGAATTAGATGATTTTCTTAAGCGACCATCCCCCGAATCCTTGACCTAGAAGTCTAATTCACAAGGTAGAGGAGTGACATTAGGAGATGGATTCTCATTGTGGCCGGTGACCAACAATAGGTTCATCATACTCCAGTTGTTTTCTTAGGATCCTGGAGCCTACGTACACCGTTAGTTTTGAATCAGGGTTTTCCAACTTCCCTAGGTGGTAAGTCCGTGTCCACCAACCCGGTTAAAGTACCGGACGTATGCTTTTCGTCTTCCCAATTTCGTAAACAACACTCCCGCCACGAGAAGGCTATGAGTAAATCTTCCCTGACAGTGGCTGTATACGCGTGGCCATGTGAGAGCATTTCGAGAGAGAGAGAGCGGACTCTCCCCACTCTCGGCCGTACCAGGTACCAGGGCATTTGGGGACACTCAAACTAGTCTTGAAAGTAAAAATTCTCTTCATTCCCCCCTATCATTTAGCTTTTATTCAAAGTTCAAATGGTAAGAAATTTGTAGGGGACTATTAAAGAAATAATTAAAAAGTTAATGATGTTAATAGGGGAGACTATAATTTATGAAAGAATCAACCAGATTTAAGATAACAGATCTTGAATTTCGGCGCGAAATTCACTCATCCATTTAGATAAATAGAGTCCTGGCATTATAGCTGATGTTAGTTCGTGATAGAGACCCTAAATTCAATTCTTAACCTTAATCATCAACTATAAATCATAATTCTAATTCCTCACACTGGTTTATAACCCTTATTTGGTCCTAGTTAGTAGGTGAAGATTCCCAAGGTCAGTTTGGCGTCGCTCGAAGATCGTCCATAAATTATAATCTCACCATGTTAAACATTTATGTACTAAATGAATTAAAGACGGAAATATTAAGAAAGAAAACATTTATCTACCTGAATGAATAGCCAATAGTATAGGTTCAATTAATTCATCTTTAATTCGTATAGATAACAATCGTAAATGTCTGTATAGAAGATTTAATTTATTCGTAGTAGCTAAATTAAGCATACATGCAGATGGAGAGAGACACACAAAGAGAGGATTGTTAGAAAAGATACAAGTTATGAAAAGGAATAGGCAACTAGAAAGACAAATAATACAACGTATAAACCAAGTTTGTCTTTCCAATCCAATGGGAAATACTCTAAAAAAAAACTCGAAACGGAAAGGGAACACTGAAACGATCTTAGAGAGGTTCCTGTTTATTTAATCGTTCTACGCCTAACCCTTAGACAATAAATGGAGTCTCTTCAATCCCAATATCTTGCGAATAGTTTTACTTAATGAATTGAATGAATGAAATCACATTAGATAATCATAATAGTTTATCATCTTACTAGAATATAAAACAATATCATAAGCATTAGTTATTTCATAAACAAACAAAACAATATTGTAGGGCATCTAATCTCTTAATCTTGTGTATTGATAAACTTAAGTGTGTGGAGTTTCGAAAAGTGATGTTGTAATGTAGCTAAGTTAAAGAAATGAACAGTCAGTGTTTTGAATTTCAGCTGGAACAAATATCAATGGATCGACTTCTAGTTCTAAGGTGTTCATGTGTCAACTTTTTCTGTCTTGATGACATTATTAGTCCTATTCTGCCTATCGTGATGAAGCAACCGAGCTATATTGGCTGGAACAACCGTTCCTCAAGGTCCTACCATGCCAGACAGGTCGGTTGAAGAGCGGTAAGACTAAAAGCAACAAACTGAAGGTCCGAAGGCGAAGTCGTACTGCTGACTGTACAGAGGTGTGACAACAGTAAGATGTTTCCTTCAGACAACTAGCATGACAGCGATGCTACCTTCCTACAATGACGGTTGAGGTTAGAAAAGGTCGATCCTAAAAACGCACACCTCGCCTTATCCCACAGATATCCGTCTCCGGCGGTAAGATCTCAACAAGTACGGAGCTAACACGAAAATTACTCACAAAAATGTTGTATGTGACCGACCTCAAACAGTTGTCCCTTGGGCACTGAGGTCACGCTCTCAGGTCACTAAGGCCACCTCTAATCCAATTTCCTTTTCAGGTACCTCCAGAAGAACCCTTCCACGGTGTGGGAAACCGGGAAGTGATAACTGCCCTCATATCTCTAACAGCACTCAAGACCACCGACTGACTGTATTATTAGATGATTAGAGGTAACCAGTAAGAAACCCTACTTGATTTAAGTTTGATCCTAGTTAGCACTTGCCATCAAGACAAACTTGAAATCTTGAAGGAGTTGATGCTCTATGTGAGATTTAAAAACCTGTTATCCAGCTTTACAGTCTGAAATAACAACGCCATCGAGTTATCCGGTCCAGGGATGAGTACTAAGTAGCGATCAATCAAACGTATTTTACGATTCATTAACACGGAATTTGAATATAGTTATTCAATATTATTTGAAGTGAATGATAGTTAAGTTGGTTGAAAACTCATTATTTAAAGATCGTTTCACTTACAATACTCTTTCAACAAAAAAAGAGACTAAATCATTGTTTATGGGGTCAGTGATACCAGGATGGAATATCCTGGCGGTTGGTTACTCAATGGAAGCTCAAACTAGAACACATTATTTGAACAATTTTCAACTAATCAGTTTTAGTAAATGGATTGAGCTATTTCTGTGAATCCCACATAAACTCTTTGATTTTTACTAGCAATAACTTCTCCTGGAGCCCTTACAAAGCTAATGCCAGTCCAAAACCCAAGTAGAGAATACCTGAGAATGGGGTTAGCAACCTTATTCGATAAAAAAAGGTAACCAGAAAAAAAACATTGGTACAAGAAGGGACCAAATATATATACATCACACTTTACCATTCAATTTGTGTGAAAACTAGAATACTGCCCGGGTACCGAGACCGAGGTAGGTGGTTTTCCTAGGGGGACGATTCCCCGAGTCTTTACCCAGAAGTCTGATTCACAAGTTAGAGGAGTGACATTAGGAGATGTCGTCTCATGGTGGCCGATGACTAATAATAGGTTCATTCGCCATATTTTCTCTCAGGATACTAAAGCCTATGTACACCACTGGTTTGGAATGAGAGTTTTCCAACTCACCTAGGTGAACCCTCCGTATCCACTGACGCGGTTGAAGTGCCGGACATTCTTTTTTCGCCCTCCCATATTCATAAAAAAACACTCCCACCGCGATCAGGACTTTCCTGGAATTGGCTGTTTTTGCGTGGCCATGTGAGAGCATTTCGGAAAGTAAAGCGGACTCTCTCCACCATCCGTCGTACCAGAGCATTTGGAGGCCTGATGATGAAGTCATTGTTCAGTCAAATATTCTTTGTTTTTCAACATTTGTATAGAACAAAAACGTATAAAATGCTTTTCGAGCATAAGGATAATAATATCTACATGCAAAAAAGTCTGTTAACTACTGAAAACTGATTTTGACATACATTTAACACAAAGAAAACATATCAAAATACTAACTACATCATATCCCCTTTAAAAAAGGGAATACTATGACGAAAGATTCACTTACATTGGTGTATGGCATCTTGCTTGATAAGATAAAGTTTTGTTTGTAAAATTAATTGTTTTCGAATAGGAAGATCTTGAACACTTGCTTAAAGAGAAGAGAAATGTAACAAAGAAAAAAACAGAGATATAGCATTACTACTAGTACTGTAACGAACAAGTACACATGTGGAGACAACAGGCAGTCAGCAACAACGTAGAACCTCTTACGTACGTACATCAATTCGAGTTGCCATAACACATTAACACACAGATGCAATTGTCGATTCAAATCCCATAGTGGTAGAGGTAGTAAAAGTATTTTGGTAAAACATGAAAACCATAGATTCAATACTTTATTTGCAAATCCTACATCAATTGTCTCAATTTTCATCGTTCCTTCATTGTTATTACAATTACTGTCTGTTCTCATTCTCACCGATTCGATCTTCTCAGCCTTCTGCTGCCAGGCATTCCACTTCTGACTAGCGTTATATGTTACTTATGTCGACATACTTACTTACTTACTTACGCCTGTTACTCCCAATGGAGCATAGGCCGCTGGCCAGCATTCTCCAACCCACTCTGTCCTGGGCCTTCTTTTCTAGTTCCATCCAATCCTTGTTCATTTTTCTCATGTCTATCTCCATTTACCGGCGTAATGTGTTCTTTGGTCTTCCTCTTTTCTTTTGACCTTCAGGATTCCATGTGATTGCTTGCCTTGTGACGCAGTTGGGTGCTTTTCTCAATGTGTGTCCTATCCACTTCCAGTGCTTCTTCCTGATTTCTTCCTCCGCTGGGATATGGTTTGTTCTCTCCCACAGTACGTTGTTGCTAATAGTGTCCGGTCAACGGATCTGAAGTATTTTGCGTAGACAACTATTAATAAACACCTGTATTTTCTGGATGATGGCTTTCGTAGTTCTCCAGGTTTCTGCCCCACACAGTAGAACTGTCTTGACATTTGTATTGAAAATCCTGACCTTGATGTTGGTTGACAGTTGCTTTGAGCTCCAGATGTTCTTCAGTTGTAAATATGCTGCTCTTGCTTTGCCGATCCGCGCATTCACATCTGCATCAGATCCACCGTGTTCATCAATGATGCTGCCCAAATATGTAAAGGTTTTTACATCTTCCAAATCTTCTCCGTCAATTGTGATTGGATTGGTGCATGCTGTGTTGTATCGGAGAATCCTGCTTTTCCCTTTGTGTATGTTGAGACCTACTGCTGCTGAGGCTGCTGCCACGCTGTTTGTCTTCTCCTGCATCTGTTGTTGCGTGTGGGATAGAAGGGCCAGATCGTCTGCGAAGTCTAGATCATCCAACTGCATCCTAGATGTCCACTGTATCCCGAGTTTCCCTTCAGATGTTGATGTCTTCATGATCCAGTCGATCACCAGGAGAAAGAGAAAGGGTGAGAGGAAGCAACCTTGCCTGACACCGGTCTTTACCTCGAACGAGTTTGTCAATTGTCCTCCATGCACAATTTTGCAGTGTAATCCGTCATATGAACTCTGTATGATATTGACTATCTTCTGAGGCACGACGTAGTGTCGAAGAAGCTTCCATAGTGTTGTTCTGTCCACGCTGTCAAATGCTTTTTCGTAGTCAATGAAGTTGATGTAGAGTGATGAATTCCATTCAATTGATTGTTCCACAATGATCCGTAGAGTTGCGATTTGGTCTGTAAACGATCTATCCTTACGGAATCCTGCCTGTTGGTCACGAAGTTGGGCGTCTACACAGTCCTTCATCCTGTTTAACAATACCCTGTTGAAGACTTTTCCCGGTATTGAGAGAAGAGTGATGCCTCTGTAGTTATCACACTTGCTGAGATCGCCTTTCTTCGGTATTTTGATCAGAAGTCCTTCTTTCCAGTCTTTTGGTACTTGTTCCTCATCCCAAATCTTATTGAAGAGAATGTGGAGTATCCTTGCAGTTGCCGCTATGTCTGCTTTTAGTGCCTCTGCATAGCATAAACCACATTGCCGCTACTGGATACAAAATAATTGTTAGGTAGTGTTACAATATTTTAGCTATCTGGTTAGATTTCCCGAGATGTTAGAATTCTTTGTTTTAAATGATATAAGTAATATAATGTAATTCACGGGTTACAATGGCACAGATCAATTTTCTCAGTATATTCCATTTCATTTGGATTTACTTATATTTTTCTTCTTAATTGGTTTACTGTCGATTCTGTGCTCTCTGTTGTGACCTTTCTACATCCAGTAAAACGTACGGGAGTCATCTGTTGAATCTCTTCAACAAGTGTTCAAGGATAATTGAAGCAAACAGTTACTATTATCAGCTAGTTCGCCTGGGGCGTCAAAAGACCCACGTAAACGTTGTTCAGCTTGAATTGTTCTACCTACTTAGGGATAAAAAACCAACGATTAAGATTAGTACGTTTCTGAAGGTTAAGAGCTTTTTATAAAATTTAATGTTTACTTAGTGATGCAGTCAGCAGAGTCGTAGGTAGGGATGAAGAAAAGATAACGAGGTGGATCAGACCTTCAGGTCAAAGGCTCGGGGTATGGCCCCCTAAGAAAACCACCTGCTTCCGTTTGGGCACCCGGGCAGTATCACAGCCTTCACACATATCAAATGAGATCTGTGTGGCGCATATGCATTTGGTGCCTCTTTGTACCAATATCTATGTGTTAAGATAAATAAATAAATAAAATATACACACTAGTGACGGTCTTCAAGAGGTATTTTCCTGAAGTTCTAATAAGAAGCCATGACTAGTGAAATCCAATCAGGTCTGTTGTGACATAGTAACTACTCAATGATAAAAAATAAAGTAGTATAAAATCCATAGAAATTTACCAGCAATACAAGTCATATTTCCATTTTGAAATAATGTAAATATCAATTTAATAGAATCAACTTGAGGATAATTAAATGTTAAACGTATAATTGATGACATCTCCTGATAGTATTGACTTAGATGATCTAAAGTCTAAAGAAAAAAAAAACAAAAAAGAAGGTTAATATTACACATAACATGATCATATACTTACATATAAACCTTTCTCAATAGCGAATATATACAAAGGAATAGCCATTAATAGAATAGATGTATAATGTTGATCATTAGGTAGATTATCATTGATGAATTTCAGAATAGGTGTAGCTAACTATTAAAAAAAGAAATAAAGTATATAATGAAATAATCATGGAAACTATACTTCAATTTCTAAGGATTGTTTTATATCATCTAATTTTTCCAATGAACTAATATAGATTATATCACCATTAACAATACCAAGTTCTGACAGAGATTGATTTGAATAATTTAGATTATAATAATCTTTTGCATTAAGACTTATTTGAACATTTTCTCTGAATAGATAAAAAGAAAGAAAGAAAACAAAAGTATCCATATAGTTATTGAGTCATAATGAACATTTGAAATGTGATAATCGTTAGTTAGAATAAATAATGCCCACAAGTGTCCTGATATGACCGAGAGTGGGGAAAGTCAGATCTCTTTCTCAAATGCTCTCAAGTAGCCACGTGCATACAACTACTGCAAGGGAAGTCCTACTTACTGTCTTCTCGTGGCATTACTGTTGTTTATGAAATTGAAAGGATGAAAAGCGAATATCCGGCGCATTAACTGGGTTGGTGGAGACGGAGGGTCCATCTGGGGGAGTAGGGAAACTCTCATTCCAAACCAATGGTGTACATGGACTCCAGGATCCTGAAGGAAAAATGGTGTATGAACCTATTAATGGTCACCAGCTGCCATGAGACTGCATCTCCTCGATGTTGCTTCATTGCTTTGTGGATCAGACCTTTAGGTCAAAGGCTCGGAGTGTGGCCCCTAATAAAACCACCTGCAGTGGGGTTAAGCAGGGTTGCCCAATCTCACCATTCCTCTTCAACTTTGCCATCGATGACATTCTGGAAACAGCTCTGATGGATGTAAGTAATGGTGGTGTGGATCTGTTGTCTGGAGAAAGGCTTCTCGACCTTGAGTATGCGGATGATATTGTCTTACTGTGCGATAATGCCCAAGGCATGCAATCCGCACTTAATCAGTTGGCAATTAGTGTCTGTAGGTATGGTATGTGCTTTGCACCTTCGAAGTGCAAAGTACTTCTACAAGACTGGCAGGATTTTGATCCTGTACTCACCCTGGATGGTGAGCAGATAGAAGTAGTCGAGAAATTCGTGTATCTGGGTAGCATCATAAGTGCTGGTGGTGGTGTGAGTGATGAGATCAATGCACGTATAGTGAAAGCCAGAGCGGCTTATACCAATCTGGGCCACCTTTGGCCCCTTCGTAATGCTAGCCTGGTTGTAAAAGGTCAGATCTACAACGCGTCGGTGAGAGCATTTTTGCTCTACGCTTGTGAAACCTGGCCTCTCCGAGTTGAAGATGTTAGTATCCCAACCCTTACAAAAATCGAATAATTTATGTGGCGCATACCTGTTTGGTGCCTTCTTGTACCAATGTTTATGTGTCTAAATAAATAATACTCGAACATGACACATATTTTTGTCCTATCTATTCATTTATTTGGATACAAATATTGGTACAAAGGGTCAGTGAATACATATACGCCAAACAAATCACTTGATTTGTGTGTGAGCTGTGGTACTCTGCTTGAATGCCCAGACCGGGGCAGGTGGTTTACTTGGGGAGCCACATCCGAAGCCTTTGACCTGAAGATCTGACCCACAAGGCAGTGAAGCACCGTTAGGAGATGCAGTCCCATGGAAGCCGTTGATCAATAATGGGTTTATACGCCCATGTGAACCATTGGTTTGGAATCAGAGCTTTCCAGATCCCCTAGGTGGATTCTCCATATTTATATCCTATCAGCCCAAAATTTTTTCGAGCCATTACAAAATGTAGAAGACTGACAAAGCAGTAATAAAACTGGGATTAGATTTTCATGAGTCATAATAGGACAACGACAACTACAGATATTATTATATGAAAGTGCTCGAAGAAGAGCAATGAAAACGGTAGCTACAACCGATTGAATGTGATCAATTATTGAAAAGAGTTCAATACAATGGAACTTGGGTTTAGAAACTATTTACGATTTAAGCTTGTGCATTCAATACCGGAGATGACAGACATTTGATTAACGTCTTGTGATGTTCATACATCTTCTAACTAGAATTGATAAAACCATAAAGAATTTAAGCTTTTTTAATAAACATATCAAGGCGATATGTAACGGAATGCATATTGACTAGAGGGATGAAAACAACTGTATTGCATGAAGTTTAAATCTTTACGTGTAATCACTTTTTAGATCTTCATAACCTTCATTTCTAGACCAGTAACTCATTTCAGCCTAGGTTTTATGAGAATGATGAACAAATATTGTACTGAAGTATGATAATGATTCACATTTTTAACGTCAGCCAAAACGTGATTGATGTCTACGCTCTTCAGTAGTGTTTTATAACATCAACAGTATTATCAATACCAGTCAAACAAGAGCAGAAAAAGCCAAGGCAGAAGCTGAATACACAGAAGTAAACAAACAAGTGAAGAGGAGCATCAGAACCGACAAACGTAAATATGTGGAAGATTTAGCAACAGCGGCGGAAAAGGCTGCAAGAGAAGGAAACATGAGACAATTGTATGACACGACAAAGAAACTCTCTGGAAATCGCCGCAAATCAGAACGACCAGTGAAAAGCAAGGTAATCACCAACATTGAAGAGCAACAAAACAGGTGGGTAGAACACTTCGAAGAACTCTTGAATCGACCAGCTCCACTGAACCCACCCAACATCGAAGCAGCACCCACGAACCTCCCAATCAATGTTGGCCCACCAACAATTGAAGAAATCAGCATGGCCATCAGACAAATCAAGAGTGGCAAAGCAGCAGGACCAGACAACATTCCAGCAGAGGCACTAAAAGCAGACGTAGCGGCAACTGCAAGGATACTCCACATTCTCTTCAATAAGATTTGGGATGAGGAACAAGTACCAAAAGACTGGAAAGAAGGACTTCTGATCAAAATACCGAAGAAAGGCGATCTCAGCAAGTGTGATAACTACAGGGGCATCACTCTTCTCTCAATACCGGGAAAAGTCTTCAACAGGGTATTGTTAAACAGGATGAAGGACTGTGTAGACGCCCAACTTCGTGACCAACAGGCAGGATTCCGTAATGATAGATCGTGTACAGACCAAATCGCAACTCTACGGATCATTGTGGAACAATCAATTGAATGGAATTCATCACTCTACATCAACTTCATTGACTACGAAAAAGCATTTGACAGCGTGGACAGAACAACACTATGGAAGCTTCTTCGACACTACGTCGTGCCTCAGAAGATAGTCAATATCATACAGAGTTCATATGACGGATTACACTGCAAAATTGTGCATGGAGGACAATTGACAAACTCGTTCGAGGTAAAGACCGGTGTCAGGCAAGGTTGCTTCCTCTCACCCTTTCTCTTTCTCCTGGTGATCGACTGGATCATGAAGACGTCAACGTCTGAAGGGAAGCACGGAATACAATGCATAGCTAGGATGCAATTGGACGATCTAGACTTCGCAGATGATCTGGCCCTTCTATCCTAAAGGCAACAACAAATCCAGGAGAAAACGACCAGTGTAGCAGCAGCCTCAGCAGCAGTCGGTTTCAATATACACTAAAGGAAAAGCGAGATTCTCCGATACAACACAGCATGCACCAACCCAATCACAATTGACGGAGAAGATTTGGAAGATGTAAAAACATTTACATATTTGGGCAGCATCATTGATGAACACGGTGAATCTTATACAGATGTGAAGGCGCGGATCGGCAAAGCAAGAGCAGCATATTTACAACTGAGGAACATCTAGAACTCAAAGGAACTGTCAACCAACATCAAGGTCAGGATTTTCAATACAAATGTCAAGACAGTTCTACTGTATGAGGCAGAAACCTGGAGAAC